TTGCATGATGCAAAACTTTTTATTTGTCGAATAGAATTCCAACATTGTGCTAGCCCATATGTAGAAGTACTTTGTTCTATTAAAGACTCGGATGTGCACTAACTAGTTTATTGTGGGTCGCTTCTTCTCCTACCCAACAAACGCCAACTCAGCAGCTACACCAAGTTACCCCCATGGTCGACACAACTTCTAGCTTCCAAACTTGGGGGACTGGGGAATGCCCTATGGTTCCTGCTAGACCAAAAATACTCGATTTGATTATCCAACGTCTCATAAGTTCCCAATCCAGAAGCCACTTCTTGATTACAAACTTAGGAGCCTACTGTTTATACTATAATCAACTAAGCATATTTAGCACTGGAGGACTAGTATGCAGACATACTCGAAGCCTGCTGAAGCTCTCAGTTACAGAACCTAGAACTATGGACACGTGTCACCGTTACGAGTGCAAAATCCCACATTGAAACTTTGTGCAAACTCTCACTTTCACTTCTTTATAAAAGAGGAATTGTGCCCAAGTAAAAAGAGTAATTACTTTTCACATTTACTGTTACTTTACCAAAATTACTACGTAACCTACTCTTGTTGACGATTGCTTCCTCCCTATTTCTTTTGCAGGATCTCTCATTGCCGAAGGTCCACAACCCTCTTGTCTTGATGAAGACTTGACACTTCTTCCACCTAAGTTGTCCCCCGATTTTGGGCATCAACAAGAGTAAAGGCATCGTGGGTGGTGATATTAACAGAGTGACAAAATTTCAGGTAATTTTGAAAAGAGGAAAAAATATATATTTGAAATTAGAGCTGAAGAGTGACAGAGTGAAACAGGTACTTGCCGTAGACTTACACAAAATTAGGTGTTTGTTTATTTGCTTCTTCATAAATGGTAGAAGGTTTAATCATCTATAAGTTATGTTTTGATTTTTGTTTTTCTAAGTTTGCTTTTCCATTATTTTTCTGAGCAATGCACTGGAGTTTTCTAAGGTGATAGCAAACACAAAATACTATTGGAGGTTCTGCTCAAGAATGAATTATGTAATTTCAGGTACTGGGGGAAACTTGGGGAATGAGATAGTAGACAAGAAGGGAAAATTGTCAGTTTCAAGTATTGATTTTGTGGGACTTGGCTTTGCGGTTAAGAAGGAGGATAGAGGACTGCCAGCTGGGTTGGATTCCAATGGCAGACTATTTTCCAGAAGGAGACTCACCTGACGTTGAGATTATAGCGGGGGACCCTAGAAATTTCGATGCAGTGGCATGGAAGCCAGAGCAGACTCAAGGAGACAACTCAGATCTTTACAAGCCAAAAGTTTCTTCAAAAACGGTGTGACAGTTAATGTCACAGTTAGTGTTCCATTAGCGTGCTTGATACAAACATATAACATTATGCATGAATAGGGGCTTTCATTTTTAAACGGATATTTGAAAAAGTGCCATATGCAATCAATCCTAAGAATGAAACAGATGGGTCGCATTTCGCAGCTATAGGTTATTGTCAAATGCCTTCAGATGTTGTAGATCTTCATTGACGAGTTTGGCGCCCTCACAGACTGCTCTGTCGAATTAAATTGAAAAGATTCAAACAAGAGCTTAAGTAGGGAAGATGTTCACTTATATCATGTTTCAAGTTTCCACTGGTAGCAGATGCGTTGTTCATAGTGCAAAATTCTTCTATGAGACCATAGATTGATGTTATTTATCTGACTTGATGGCAACAAGACAATTGGTTTATCTCCTTCAACTTTGCATTGGTAAATGTTACCACTCTAAATGGATTCACTATAATAAACTTCGTACTGTGAGATGACCATTTATAGAGCTGCTAAGATCTGAATGTGAGAAGGTTTGCTTCTATTGAAATTTTTCCTTGTCTGCTTGAATGCCAAAATCTTTTCTAGCCCTGAAAACCCTTTCCCTTGCTTCCTATTGTCTTTTCTTAATATACTCTATTAATTTTTTTTGTTTCATAGAAGTCCTTTTTTAAGCTAATGTCATTGCAGAATATGTTTCCTTCTCTATTTGCAATTAACAGGAATGGTATACTTGGGTGGTGCTGCTGGTCTAGATCTTAACTAAACTAGATGTTGTTGGAATTATCCATGAATGGAGTAAATTTTAAAAAAAAATTTAAAAAAAAAGGAACAAAAACCAAATTATATGATCCCTTATAAATCCTAAACCAAACTTTGATAGATCTCTATAAAAGGAACACGGATATTGGGTTTCTGTTCTAAATACTTCCAGATTTCGACTATGATCGACTGATGTAAGAGCGGGAGAAAAATATACAGCAATGTTACTGATTGTGTAACTTACTCTTGATGTTTTCTGTAAATTGTAGAGAAGTGAAGAACATAGCATCACACTAGTAGGGTTCTTGGAATTCCCTAGAGACCTTGGGCATCACACTTGGCTGCATTGCATCATAGAATCCTAAAGAGAAGCATATGTTACTAACTGAGACAATTCTGTGAATGATTTCATATGCCAAAAGAAGTGATTACAGCCTGTATATGTTAGTGACCTAACGCTTCTGTGATTTTCAGACTCGTTAATAGTAATGAAGGACACTAGAAGACTCTTGGGCTGGTACAGCCGAAATACAGCCGATAATTGACCCCACCCAATTAGGCAAGGTCTAAAGTTAGACCAACAAAATCCAGCTTTTGAAGGGTGCTGACTTATATCCATAATTGACAGGAGTATTACTTGCAATTTACGGCTGCTATATACAATTTTGACAATACGTATTTTTGGTTTAGGGATAAGTTATCATTTAAGGTAATGGTGCTGTAAATTATCTGAGCTGCTTGCACATATAAAACAATAAATAAATCTTACCTTTGCAGGTCTGTCTATTAATTTCTTTCCACGAACATCCATACCCTTCACTCTTTTGAGGACTTTCCCAAGACTGTTGTTGTCAATTTGAGTCAAGCTTCAGCTGTCACTAGCATGGAGTTTCATCCGGTGCAACACACTCTGCTCTCGGTTTGCTCGTGCCAGAATTTATTCTCTTTGATCTTATCCTCTTGTTGTATGGTTTCTGGATTTAAATTTATTATTTTTTCCTTCCAATTTCAGTTGGAACAAATATTGCCTGCGCAACAATATGCGACGTAGGCGGCAGGGAAGAGCTTGTTTCTGGTTATTTGGAGTCCTGGGGGTTCCCATCTTGGTATGTTCAAGGGGACTTACTTCCCATGATTCATTTTAGTTTACATACTGATTGGTGTGCCTTACATGCATGAGAAAAAGTAAATTACAGTTTCTGGTTAATAGGGGGGAAATTGTTGAAGTTCACAGATCAGGTTATTACGAATAGTTTTTTGTTCTTACTTTTTGCCCAACTTCTATTTCAAGTATTGCCTATTCCACGAATTTACTGCAACTATATTCCTGTCAATGGTGGTGACGATTTACAGAACCACCTAGAGGTTCTCTCTCTTTTCCTTTTTTAATTTCATATAGTGACTCTTAAGATTTCTAGAATTGTGATTTCTAGTACTGTTTAACCTGATTTGGGTACAAACAAGGTTTCTTGGCTGTTTACAACTATCCATTTTTTTTCAAGACTGTAATTACTTATATGTTGATCGGATTTTTTTAATGAAATTCTGCCAGATAGATGCTCATGTCGATAATGTTAGTGATCTTGCTTTCACTCGCATAAACAAACAATTATGCATCATAAATTGTGGAGAGGACAAGACAATTAAGGTTTGGTTTGTATGGCATTTTCCTTCATTGCGATGGATAAGGATATGGCCTGCAATTGCAAACATCATGGTTATCTGTTTGCAGATTTGGGATGTTGCCTCTGGTGATAAGCTGTATACCTTTGAAGCTCCAGTAGTGTGCGGAGACATACAGGTTCTTATTTTGGTTATGACCACTATATTGAGAGGGCTATGTTCATTGTCATATATTTTGAGGTTAATGTTAAGAGTTGAAAGAACACTTGCCTTTAATATCTGTAGGATTCTCATTGTTTACGATTTAAAAAGGAAGTATGCTAGCAGTTTCAGCAAGGGAGGATGGTATTAAGGTACTGGAAAATGACGAAGGTGTACAACCGCTACATTCACTTGAGAATCATGGAGTTTTTGCCTTTGGGCTGTCTTCTTAAACTGTTGGGAAGGTAAAACTGTTGCATCAGATTTATCAAGTGACTCAAATTTCAAATTTACTAAGTGATCAGAAAGGTTGTTAAATAAAAAAATTATGTTGCAAGAATCCATAATTGGCACATTTGGTGCTTCCAATTCTGCCCATAGAACAAACAACAAAGTGCTCAAAATCGAGGTTTTCGTAGTAGGGGAGTATGATACCTTGCATTTCGTAAGGGAAGCTCTTTCGAGAGCCATGTTGGACTTGGGTTCATTGGAAACCAGGGTAGCATTTCATTATTCATACGAAGATACCCCTTTCATGGTATCTTGTAATGCACTTGAGCGCCCTAACATGATTGTTATGAACCATAACTTTGTTGTTCAGTTGGGGAGAGGTAAAATCAAGATACTTGTGGGCGGATGGTGTGGGAAGAAGTGGGGACCGAGGGTTGATTTGACAGTGGTTACAGTGATGCGGGCTGGTCATGTAGAGGACGAAAAACTGAATGCTTTGAAGGAACAATGGAAACAAGACGGCAAAATAACTTCTCCTTTTCCGTGGCTGATTGATGTTGTGTTCCTAAGGGAGCAACTTAATGATCTAAAAGAGATTCCCCTTTATTTTGGAGTTTCTTTGACTTTGCAAGAGAGAAGAAGGGTAAAGAGTCCACTTAGTACTGATTTCTTTGTTTTCTTGTTGCCCAAGAACAATTAAGTACTGCTTTCAGCAGTTAGTCCTCCTCTAATGTAGAGATTTCTGAACAGGCAGCTAGGAAACATGAAAGGTCAAGTCCCTCCTTTCTTTTGTGCGGCCGAGCAGTTCCTAACCAGACTCTTTGTCCTTCCTTCCTTTTGCGAAGTCAAAGCAGCTCCAAAGTAGAGTGGCAATCTCTTCTAGATCATCGTGCTACTCTCCTAAGAACACATCATCAATCAACCCAAGAAAAGGAGAGGCTATTTTGCCACCTTGTCTCCATTGTTTCCTCAAAGCGTTCAATTCTTCGTCCTCCACATGACCAGCCCATACCATTGTAACTACCGTCACATCAACCTCCGGTCCCCACTTCTTCCCACGTCATCCGTCCACAAGTATCTTGATTTTATCTCTCTCTAATTGAACAACAAAGTTGTGATCCATAACGATCATGTTAGGACGCTCAAGTGCATCACAAGATACCATGAAAGGGGTATCTTTGTATGAATAATGAAACACTAGCCTAGTTTCCAACAAACTCATGTCCAACGTGGCTCTAGAAAGAGCTTCCCTTACGAAACGCAAGGTATCATACTCCCCTATTACTAAAACCTCGAGTTTGACCAATTTGTTGTTTGTTCCATAGTCAGAACTAGAAGCACCAAATGTGCCAATTATGGATCCCTGCAACATAATTTTTTTATTTTACCACCTTTCTGATTACTTAGTAAATCTGAATTTTGAGTCACTTGATAAATATGATACAATAGTTTTACCTTCTCAGCAATTCCAGAAGACAGCCCAGAGGCAAAAACTCCACGATTCTTAAGTGAACGCACCAGCTAATGTCCCCAGAGCTCTTGATCCTTTGGACGTGTGTTTAGAATCTGCTGTATGACATAACATACGAGGGTTATTAGTGGGGGGAGTCCTAGGGTGCTTAGCAAAGATGCTACAATATCAAATAAATCCAATAGAGAAATAGAACTTAGTTGCAAAAGTGAGAACACAAACAAATTGAAGCAGGGAAACCATATCATGCAATTCGAAAAATACCCTTCAAGCAAAAGAGAATCGATTGGCAAGTGTCTGATGAGTGTGAACCTGACAAACCCTATTCACTAATGAGCCCAACATATAAAAGAAACAGGCAAAGGGAAATAAAAATCGTCATACAATATCTTTCTACCGAATCTCAACTAATCCCAACTACAATTCATGGTCACCAAATCTCACTAACAAACTTAACCCAGCGATGGGCGCCGACCAGTTTCATTCTTATCCCAACCAACATCCAAATCCCCATGGATTCCATTTAAATACATTCTTCAAAAATAACCAAAACCAAGTACATAAACAGCTAGAGCACGAAAAATGGATGGAGAACCATACCTTCATTGACGACAATGGTTACCGGAGTCGCCGGAAACGGCTACAGAAAAATCGCGAACCTCTCCGCCTTTCCGAGCTCCATCCGTCGCAGGGAGGGGCTGTGCTGGTCGTAAAAGGTAAAGGATGAGGTCGTCAGTCGATGGCCGTTCTTTTCCGACTGGTCCCACGACCTGGCGTGGCCGGACGACGAGAATCGCTGCCGGCCTTGGTGCTGCGCACAGAAGAAGAAAGAGGCATCGAGGAGAGGGAGAGGGAGATAGAGAATAACGCGTGCAGGGATGTAGGTATTTAGGGTTTCTTAAAACAAAATTTGGAATTCCCAACACGTCCTTTCAGTTTCTTGACTGGGATTCCTTTGTTTTAATTCGAAATTGAGCATGCCGAGCTCTTTGCAAATATACTGCTCAATTCTCCAAATTCCTTCCCAAACAATAAAGTTACTAAAATGCCCCTATCCCCAAAAGCAAAAATGTAATTTCACAATTAAACAATTAAATAAAATGCTTAAATTGGGTCAGAGTGTTACAACTATATATATACACTTTTGAGTGAGCACCAAATAAAAAAGAAAAAAAAGAACATGAGTTGCAGATCTTCAAGCATCGAACACAAAGTAAACGAGTGTGTGCTGAGAATCTCAGAGAGAGAGGGTGTGTGTGAGAGTTGAAGAACGAAGTTGAAGAAAGGAAGGTTCTACGTTTTTATAGGTTTTCTTGGTTTCTAATTTTCTTTTTTCTTTTTGAAAGGAGGTTTCTAATTTTCCTTTTGTTCAGTCTTTATCGCTCGTTTTCTATATTTTCTAAATTTCTAGAACTTTCGTGGCATAATGTGTATGCATATGATGCGTGTGCTGCCCTTTTTTCTTTACTATTATTATTAGTTTTTTTTTTCCCCTAAAAAAAAAAAAACAAAAGAGAGTGAGAGAGACACTCAACTCAAAAATACATTATCTCTTACTATTATAAAGCCAGCATAAAAGCAGTTGAGTTAAAGGGCTTCACCAAAAACAAAAAATAAAATAAATGGACAAAAACACCCCTAAAACAAAAATAAAATAAAGTGATGTGGAAAATGCTTATTTAAAATTCGCGTGGGTATTATTGTAAAAGACAAAAAATAAAGCAAAAAAATAAATAATAAAAACTGAAATCTACGCGGTCTGTATACAGCATAGTGGGTTCTTAATTGTATGGTTTTTCCTTCAATTTCAATATAATCCATGCCTGATTATTTTTCTTTTCCGATTCATTGACGGAGTTCAGTTCAGGCAAATGACGGCATTCAAGAGAGTCTTTTTATATTATAATTGCTTTCCCTTCTAGGTTCATTTTCATTATTTTTCTTTCATTGTTCTGAAATTTCATTTGTATTTTTCTTCACATTTCAGTTCTTGGCTCTACTGCTTTCTTCTGCTGGAATGGTTTTGGACAAAAGCATATCCAGTGTGCTGCAGCAGGCTTTGTTTCATCTCTCTCAACGAACAAATTTCCTTTCTTTTCTTCACAGTGGTATCTCTTCTCTTGCCAGCTTATTGTTTTGTTCTCAGGTTTTGTAAAGAAGAAGCAGGGTAATAAATTTGCTGGATAATGGGTCTTTAACACATCAATGACTCAACTTATTAGAGATAAGCTCGGAGCCAGTTCAAATTGAGGCAACATTTATATAATTCTACTTTTCTTGGCAGTTAGAGGACATCTTCGAACCTTCCTGTTGGCACCTTGTGAAACCCAATTTCAATTACCCCCTCCACCTCCCCCTCCCCCTCCCTATCGGTTGTTAAAGGAATAAAATAAAATAAAATTACATTTTGACATTTTTTTCTAGCTACTGAGTTGTATACTATCTGCGATGTTTTGGCAGTTGAAGAAAAGTCCCCTTGCATGAGCCAATGATAGTATGTATATTGAAAAAAAAAATTGTGCCTTGTAGCAGCCGTGATTAAAAAAAAAGCCCACTCGTCAGTGGTGGAGTTAGAGACTTTGTACAGAGGGGCACTCTCAAATATTGAAATGACATTTGAATTAATTTTTTAGTTGATACAAAATCCCTAAATTTGATTACTATACTCTATTATTTTACATATTATATTCACTATCTACTCATTACTGATACTAGCAGAATATATTGAAACTAAATGTACTTCATTAAATATACTCACTAAGAAATTCCAATTGTAGTTTATTACTACAAAATTTAGAGTTAAAATAAGACAAGAAGAGATATAGAAGGGGTAGTAATAATAGTGAAAAGAGAGAGAAGGAAAACATAAAAATGGCACTTTGAAATTTGATAAAAGATTGGTAATTGTGCTAAGAAAACAAAGGGCTCAATAACATTGAGAGGGGGCATAGGACCTAGACCTGGGCACGGTTCGGGTCGAGTCCAATTTTGAGTGACTCGGTGGGCCGAACCGAGTAGGATATCGGTTCTTGAGTTGGGTTGGGTCCAAACTTAAAACCGAAAATGGACCGACCCGATAGGCTCCGATTCGGTTCTGGCTTTTTTGTCAGTTTTGGGCTTTAGCCCAACACTAGTTTTTTGAGCCTAACTCACTTTTTTTGGGCCAAAATCTTTTTTTTTTTTTTTTTAGGTAAAATTGTTAAAACCTAATTAGTTTATTTATTCAAAAGCCCAATTTTGTTAGTTTTTTTTTCACAATGCCAATTTTTCAAACAGGCCATCCCTTAGAGCCCATTTCATTTTTCCTTACCCAAATCATGTAAATTCAACTCAGCTATAACCTGCTTTTTTAAAGTTTCAAAACTAAATCACAATCACAAGCATCATCCAACTATCAAATTAGTTGTTTCTTACAAGTTACATCCCAAGCCATGACAAAAAATACAAGTAAAGCACCAAATTATATTTTACAACCAAAAAAAAAAAAAAACAAGTAAAACACCTAATTAGATTTTAAATACCAAACACATTCACTTGTATAATTGTATCAGTTAAGGGAGCTGCAAAAAAAAATAATAATAATAATACACTTGTATCAGTCAACAATCATTCACCAAACAACCATAATCATACTCCAACTCGATAGTTAATTTCACCCAAAAAAAAGAAAAGTGTTTGCAGTTTTTGTCTCAAATCATTTAAACATATCAAAACAAGTTATAGCACATCAATCAACTCAAATACACAAATCAAAACACTCCTCAATCAGTTATCATTCAAAACATCTTATAAGCTCTGTTGTTTCGTTTTCTTAAGAAATGTATTTCAGCCAAGGCAAACCAAATAGCTGGGAATGCCTTAATTTCCCCCAACCCCAATACTTCAAGATGTTAAATTTTTATTTCCATCAATATTTAATCAACCAAATACAAAATGAAGCATCAAATATCAATCCCACCGAAACAGCAGTAGGTCTATCTATAACCACAAAAAAATGTCAGAACCAAAATCTCATTAACATTAAACATATTTCAAAACCAATATATCATGAACATCAAGCAAGCAAATTTTCAGAACTCACCACCGCTAGCACTGAGTCAGATTCATCCATAATCACCACCACATTGTAGTCACAACAAACTTTTATCCAAGTCCTTACCACAAAGACGCACATATAAAGTTAAAAACAACATACCATTGATTTGGATTGAAGAAAAATTAGAAATAGCATAGGGTTTATACAGTGTTTTAAAAGGCACGCATCAAATATCAGTCCCACCGAGCAGTAATCTTCACTTTTGTCAAATATCCATACTTTTTCAAAGTTTAAATAAAAAGATGCTGTTTTTTTAATTGTTCCCTACAGATCAACCAATGGGTACTCAAAGTGAAGAATATTGAAGATAAAAGTGAAGATATCACCAAGCAGTTATCTTCACTTTTGTCAAATACTTCAAGCTAAATTGAAATTTCAGATTAGTGAGCAAATCACAGATAGCCATCAAACTACATTGAAAATATTGAAGAATTGACAAAACTGAAAGCAAAAGAACTGAAAGCCATCAGATTACTTACTGCATCAGACCTAAAAGCTCAATCTGGGTCTTCAGCTATGGGGGATTGCTGTCAAGGTGCTTCTGGTTCCTCCTTGTCAGAAAGAGAGGTGCAAAGCGCGAGAGGAGAGAGGGGGAGGTGAGAGAGAGAGGTAAAGGGGGTGAGTGAGACAAGAGATAGAGAGAGCAACGATGACAACAATGACGTCGTAGCGGTAGCCATCACCGTCGATTTGGTGAGGACGACAGGAGCAGTGAGATCGAGAGAGAGGTGGCGAGTGTGAGTTAAGGCTGAAAGAGAGAGACGAATGAGAGTGAACGAGTTAACTTTGTGAGGGTAATGATCCAGTGCAAGCAGACTCCGCATAAACTATTCTTTAAGCCAATTAGACAATGACACATGGAAAATGCATATATAGTTAAATATTATGCGGTTCGGTTCAAGTCCACCGGTTTAAAAAATTTTAGACCCGAAGCCTGAACCGAAGTCAACGGTTTGGGTCAGGTCCAGTGTTGACTTTTTTAGTTTGGTAAAAAAAACCTCCTTTTTCAATTTGGTTTGGTTTGGTTTGGTTGGTTCATTCGGTTTATCGGTTTTTATGCCCACCCCTAATAGGACCTCCTGGGCTTAGCTCCCTCCACCCCTGCTCCTCGCATGCTCTGAAACACATGTAGAGAGATTAGATTTTTTAATAAATAAAAATCAGAGTGTATGTTGTTTGTGTCAAAAATGTAGTATTAATTTTATTAGAACTTAGTTATTCCATGCTACGAGTCACTTTTTATTGCAGGTTTTCTCAAATAAACTTGTGGGAACAAGAATTTTTCAGCCAATAACATAATGACACGTGGACTTGGTCAAACACAATTGGGAAAATTTGTCATTCGACATACACAGGAAAGGGATTTGCATCTAATTAGCGCACCGTTTCGGTTGGCAGAGGAAGTAACCTCTATCAAACCCATTGAGGACTTCAGAACACTTTGGGCAAAAATCTTTGAAGCCCAAGTTGGGCGATATAAAGAAAGACATATCAGGCTCAATCCTCGAAGTAATGACACACAGCAAAACATGACCAGTCACAATCCATTATAGTCATGGGAGCTTCTACAATGAGGAGTTAAAGTGAGGAGGTTATTTGAGGAGACCGATCCGACCTTCAAAACATTTAAAATATTTAAGTCCCATGATTTCTTTACATTTGTTGATGGTGAGATTTGACCTCCTCAAATAATCTCCTCACTTTAAGCCCTCATTATAGCCTTTCCGTACAATCATTACTTGAGTATTGCCAAATATCACTCGCATTAAACCCATTAGTCATCCCACGTCCCAAGTCAAACAACTAATTGACATGATAGTTGGGATAATGGGTCTTAATAGATCTAA